CTAGCAGGACTGCCTCAACATGGAGCCTATGAACACCTTCATCCGCATCGCCTGGGTGACCCCGAGATAGTGCCTGTGGAACCAGCTGCCCAAGGGATCCTTTCACGCTGGTTTAGAGAATGTGACCTTCACTCTTACTCATTAAGGCCGATCAGTGATTCATGTGACATTTATTGAGCACCAGGTGGGGTACCTAGAATTTAAGGGCCAAACAAGGTACCTGGAGGAGAGGTCAGGAAAGTGAATAAAGAGCACCTCAAAGAGCTTGCGGTCCAACAGAAGGTTGGACATATTCCTTGGGACTCCCTGAGCCATCTATTTGGAATCAATACTCTGCTTATATGCACGTCCACTATTAGAATCCTGTGTTGGATGAGCTAAAGTCCCTAATGCTGAGAGAGAACGTGGGTTTGATAACGGCAGGTCTGTAAGGAGCAGACAGGAGTAGATCTCAGAACTAGTCTCTTTGAGGTGACGTGGCAGCTCTCAGCAGGACAAAGGCAGTGGCAAGGAGTTTTCTGATGAAAAATGGATCAGCTGAGCAACACAGTCCCGGCGTCAGTCTGCACAGGTGGCTGAGAGGCTCTGGCCAAGTCACTTGCCTGCTCTGGACACACATTCCTCACGCGTTAAGTGAGGGCTTAGGGAAGAACATCTCAAGGCCTCCTCCAGCTGTGGGATTTTGGATTCTATTGACAGCCACTCTGTTTTCATTGACCCTGTTTGCAGAGGGTCCAGACAAGTACAGGGCAACCCTGAAGCCACCTCCCTCCCTCATGTATACCCACTGCTCAGTGGGCAGAGTCGTCCCGAGAATGAGAAGGGTCTGAGGTACCCGAACCCAGCAAAGGCCAGAAGGAGGACATCGATGGAGCACACGACATGACCCAGGCCACACAGCTCACTGAGGGGACATGGTGGACTCATGGCACTTACAGGGCAGAGAGGAGTAAGCTGCAGGCAGGAAGAGAAATGCCTCAGGGACGTCTGTGTGTGGCATTAAGAAATAAGTAAAATAGGGGCGCCTGGGTGGCTCAGTTGGTGAGGCGTCCGACTCTTGATTTTGGCTCAGGTCACGATCTCAGGGTCGTGGGATCGAGCCCCATGTCAGGCTCTGTGCTGCCTGTGGAGTTTGCTTAAGATTCTCTCTCTCCCTCTCTCTCTGCCCCTACCCACCACTCATGCTCTCTCTCTAAAAATTAAAAAATTTTTTAAAAAAGAAAGAAGTAGAATGGGGAATTGCTTTAGTAATTTTTCTTAGCAGAAAAACCAATTAAGGAACTTTTTATACAGATTCTGATGCAGATATTCATATCATAGGAAGAGGGGTGCCTTAGTAGTCAAGGAACAAAAACCAAAGCCTTAAAGCAGTATTTCTCAACCTCAGCACTGTTGACTCTTCAGGCTGGATCACCCTTTGTTGGGGGGGATGCCCCGCACATTGTAGGAGGCTTAGCAGCATCTCCCATCTCTACTTAGCAGATGCCGGAACCCGTCCTGCCCACAGTGACAGTTGTGATCATCAAAAATGTCTCCAGACGTTGCCAATGTTTTTGCCCGGAACAAAATCACTCCCAGTTCAGGACCACGGCCGTCAAGGAACAGACGGATGCATTTCACTCCATCAAAATGTTTGAAAAATCCATATGATTCTATAAATCAAGTCAAAAGGTAACAATATGATGGGGGAAAATATGTACAACGTATGACGAAGGACTAAATCCCTTATTATGTCAATTCCTACATGTCAACAAGACACCTCAATAAAAAGGGCAAAGAAATAAGCAACACACAGAGAGATGTGTATGAAATTGTGCCATTTTTTATATTATTTTTATTTTTTTAATAAGATTTCATTTATTCATTTTAGAGAGAGGGAGAGAGAGCACAATCAGGGGGAGGAGCAGAGGGAGAGGGAGAAGCAGGCTTCCCGCTGAGCAGGGAGCCCGATGCAGGGGCTCGATCCCAGGACCCTGATATCATGACCTGAGCTGAAGTCAGACGCTTAACCAACTGAGCCACCCAGGTGCCCCTTTAAACACAAAGCACAATGTCATGTGCTTATTTGTATGTCTAAGTGCACACACAAATTTTTTAAAAGTGGAACGGACCATCATTTTAGTAATCTGAGTAGCAGAATCGGTTAAGGAGCTCTTTAAACCCCAAATTCCCCCACCCCAGGCTGCTAATCAAACACTCTGAGGGTGAGGCCCGGAAACCTCTATCTCTCACCATTCCCCAGATGATTCTGACATACCTGGTCCAAAACCCAAGACATAGAATTTGTTGGTGTAAACCAAGGGTTGCCACACAACAAGCGCAGGGCAAATCCAGTCTGGTTTCGGAAATAAAGTTCTGTTGGAATACGACCACAGCCATCTGTTTACATGTGACTACTCTTGCATTACATGGCAGCGGAGTCACTGCCAAGGAGACTCTGGGCCCATAAAACCTATACAGTATTTATTATGTGGCCCTTTAGTTTGCCAGTCAATCCCTCATCTACATGATACTGACTCTGGGGTTCACAAAAGGGAAAAACAGGTAGGTGGGCTCATCGAGAAAGACTTCTAAGGAGAAAAGCTTGAACAGAGCATTATACAACCGATAGCGATTCATCTATTTTTCTCCCCACCCAACTCTCTTACTGGGTGGGCATGCCCCAAGTGATTGATTACGGAAAGACCTCTTGGCAATATAGCTTCAGGTGAGAAGGGACCGGACACTCTTTTAATCATAACTCTGTGCAAGAATTGGGCAGAAGGAATCTTGGCAGTCTGAAGGGAATACTTATCTAGATAACCCACCACCAAGCAAGACCACAGTACAGGGCCACACGCCCAGCTCTCCTTCACTGGAAGGAACATAGGAATTCTCTCCCTTCCCTCCCGGCCAACCACTGAACCACATGAAGATCAATGATGGGAAGCCCACTGCAGAAGCCAGACACAGAAACAGGCAGAGCGCTGGAGGAAGGTGGGTGGGAAAGAGCCACACAGACCAGGGGTCTTGAAATAGCAGGAGAGTGTCTACATTGGCTGGCCCACTGGGGAGACGGGGACCATGAGAAAGACGATTCCAGAATTTGGAGTTTAGGGTTTCTGGCAAAATGCTAATGAGCAATTGCACTGAGATATGGTAGAGAAAGCCTGTCGTTTTATGCCCACTTGTGGGTGATCGTGGACAAAGCAAGAAGTTTCCTGGGACTCAGTTTCCTCAACCATAAAAGGTAGGGAGGGGACTGGAGGGCCCTAATGTCCTTTCAGGTCTTAATACGAGTTTTCTGTGTCCAAAAATAGCAATTGCTACTGGTTAGAAATGTCATCTTCATGCTGAAAGACAAATGAACACTGCTGCAATCCAACTGTCACAGTATTTTTGCCTTAAAAAGGAATTTTTCCCACTTGGTTCAATAAAGATCTCAATTATATTCCAACACCAACTGCTTACCCACTAGGAGTAAAGTTGTGGAAAAAAATCCACTATGGTGCTTATGCCAGTAGTAGAATCTGCCAAGAAATGCATCCCATGATATCCTTTTTCCAAATCCAAATAATAAAAACACTCATTCACTTTACTGAATCAAGAGCTACATGTCTTCATAAAATACACATTCTCGTGTTTGGGTATTTCTTCACCTCTGCATTAGAGACTCTAGATCTACTTGAAAACTTATCCCAGTACTAATCTGGGCAGTCCACTTTTCCCCTCAATTCTGAGTTGATTTTCTGGAAATCAGCCGGTCCTGATCTTCACACGCGGGTAGAGTTACTCCTTATAAGTAGGCTAAAAGGAAATCGCAAGCAGAACTCAAATTTCTGACTGTGAAATGCATCCATTAAAAATAAACTACATGTCTAATTATTCTCCCACTTTTTCAATAGGATCTCTTTAAAACATGCTCTGTTTGGAAATGATCCTGAGATGGCCCTACCCTCGCTTTAGTCTGGCTAATGCACCGGGTCCAGAGTCATCCTAATGAATCCTGAAGCCCCACTCAGTCACAGATACATCCAGATTTAAATAACCTTTCTTCAGAAACCCTTTGTGCCTCAGTTTCCAGAGTCAACTGAATCCTCAGGGATCACACTCCACTGCATTTACTGGTACAGGCACACGGAGCCTCAAACAAGATGTTGTCACTTCCCTTTGCCTTTTAGTCATTCAAAGACCAGTTTCTTGAATCAGAAACTTATGGAACAATTCCAGCACATACATTTCTTGTTTCGCCTGTCATCAGACTCTCGTACATCCTGGCAAACTCCTTTCACAAAACAGCAATGCCATGAACACAGGAAATATGTCAATTTTTATCCCCCTGCCTCCTCAGGAAAAGACGCCTGCAGTAGACTGGGAATTAAACTTCCCGTGAAGGTCATATGATCACCGCAACTTATGCAGGAAAAGCATTTTATTAAGTTCAACATTCACTTAGAGTGAAGACTTTTAGAAAACTAGGAATAGAGGGCATTTCTTTAATCTACAAAAAAAAAAAAAAAATAAAAGAACCTTCAGCAAATGTAACACCTATTGGTGTTGAAAAGTTTCTCACTGAAATCAAGAAGAAAGCAAGGATGTTTGCTATCGCGGCTTCCACCAAACATTGCACAAAGGTCCTAAGCCAGTACAGGGAAGCCAGAATAAAAGGAAAGATTAAGGATTGACTAGGAAAAAACAACTGTCATGACTCACAGACTGAATGATTATGCATGATAGTTATTAGAATATGGAATGTCAGAAAGGTTGCCAGATACAAGGTCAAAAAATTTTTTAATTGCATCTCTATTTATCAGAAATAAACAAAACTAATATATTTAAAGGTGTTGTTTACAATATACCAAAAAATCCCCCCAAACCTAGGAATAAACCAAATGAAAGAAGTGTATGGCCTCAACAAAGAGAACCAGAACATAGCAAAATAGCATTGAGTAATTTAAAGAAGACATTTGTAAATGGAAGGGTATTCTAGTCGTAGATTAAAAACAATATTACAGCCTTTCGGCTCCTACACGCCGAGGAACAAGGTCGTGAGAAGGGGAGGACTTGGTGGTGCTGCCATTTCTACGGTCTTAGGGCTCTGCCCCTTTCGCAGAACTTCCAACAGCGCCATGTTGGGACAGAGCGTCCGGAGGTTCACAACCTCTGTGGTCCATAGGAGCCACTATGAGGAAGGCCCAGGGAAGAATTTGCCATTTTCAGTGGAAAACAAGTGGCGATTACTACTTATGATGACTTTGTACTTTGGATCTGGATTTGCTGCACCTTTTTTTATAGTAAGACATCAGCTGCTTAAGAAATAAGGATGTTTTAATTAATCCATCAAACAGATGTGAAAAGGAACATTTTAAGAGGTGCAGTCTCTTTGAAAAATGGATCAAACTCTTGTTTTCAACATACTCAATATGTTTGTAAATAAACTTATGGCATGCATCCTTAATGCCTCTTCTCTGAAACATGGAATGTAATAGTTGTGCTTACTTTTTTATTTGGGAAATATTCCAAGATTAGTTTGTTTGGTCAAATTAGTGTGTGATTTAGCCTGTTTCTTGTTTTTAGATTTTGAGGTTTTATTTAATTTTTAATACTAGGTCAGGACCTTGTTGGTAATTTATGTTATTAAAAATGCAAACTTGAAAAAAAAAAACAATATTACAAAGATTCAGATCTTCCCCAAAGTGATCTAAAGATTCAATGGAATTGCACTAGAAATCACAATAGTGGTTTTTTTTCCTGTTCTTTGTGCAAAATGACCCCCAGACAGTCCAAAGCCTCTTGAATAAGAACAATATTGATGGCTTGCTGGCATAAGAGATCAGGAATTTTAAAGCTACAGTCATTGGAACACTGGAATAGTCAAGAACTAGAAAGATCACATACGGACACTTCATTTATGGAATAGGGTAGTACAATAAATATAGTCTTCTCACTAGATTGATATCCATATGGGTAAAAAAATTAAGCTTGACTCCTCCCTAACATCATCCACAAAATTAAATTGCAAGTGAATTGTAGGTCTGAAGTGAAAGGCAAAAAAATAAAGCTTCAAAATGCTAACAGAATATCTTCATGATTTTAGAGTTTATAAATTATTAATAAACAGGATACAAAGAACACTAAGTATAATGGAAAAATTATTAATGAGTTGGACTATACCAGAATTACAAACTTCTTTTTATCAAAACACACCAATAGGGGCACCTGGGTGGCTCAGTTGGTTAAGCATCCAACTCTTGGTTTCAGCTCAGGCCATGATCTCAGGGTCATGGGATCGAGCTCTATATCAAGCATTGCACTCAGCATGGAGTCTGCTTGGAACTCTTTCCCTCTCCCTCTGCCCCTGCCCCTGCTCATGTGCGCTCTCTCTCTCTCTCTCTCTCTCTCAAATAAATAAATCTTTAAACACACACACACACACACACACACACACACACACACACCAATAAAAGAGTAAAAATGCAAGCCAAAGAATAGATGAAGGTATTTGCAATACATGTAATCCACAAAGGGCTCATCTCCAGAATAAAGAATTGTTTACATTAATGAAGGTGGCATGGTGGAGACAATGCCATAGAAAAATAGGCAAGAGACCTGAACAGGCTCATCACAAAAAAAAATGATATCCAAATGGCCAAAAAATCATAAGAAAAGTTCCTCAACATCATTAGTTATTAAAGAAATGCAAATTAAAATCACAATAAGAGATTACTATGCATTTACATGAATGAAAAAATCAAAAGACTGACAAAGTCAAGCGTTGATGAGGACATAATAAAACAGGAAGAATAAATCAGTGGTGGATCGTATGTTGGTACAACTGCTTTGGGAACTATTGGGCATTATCTCCTAAGGTTGAATGAATATTTACCTTCTGACCTAGAAATCCACACCTAGATATATGCCTAATAGAAAAACAGGCAAATGTGCACTGAGAAACATATACGGAATGCTCATATGTCCATTCATGAGTGCCAAAATGTGTAAACTACTCAAATATCCATTGAGTCGGATATATAAATTATAGTATACTCATACCAAAGAAGCCTCTCCAGCCATGAAAAAGAAAGAATTATAGTCTTACAGAACAATAAGAATAAATTCCCCAATGCAACATTGTTTCCATTTGTGTGACGACAACAAGCAGCAAAACCGAAAGATGAAAGTTGGGACAGTGGTTACCTTTGGGGAGAAGGGAGAGGTAGGGCTCAGAAAGAGGCTGAAGGGCGCCATTCTCATTCTTGACTTGGTGGGTAGTTACAACGGTGATCATTTTATAATACATTGAGCTGCACCTGTTGATTTGTGCGCTTTTCTGTATATGTGTTATACTTCACAATTTAAAACAAAATTTAGTACCTACTGTATACACATATCAGGTTTATTTTGACCCACTAGGCAGTTAAAGGCAAGCCCCACCCTTAGCAGCCCCTTTCACTTAATTTGCGATGTCTTTTCCCATTCATTCAGTCAGTTCAACCATCATCCAAAGCGCTCTAAAAACAGGGCCCCGCACAGTCAGGATTCTAACTTCTTAGCATACCGATCCTAGGAATTCTGTTAGGAAGTTTAGAATTTTATTTCTTAAAATAAAGGTGAATTTGTTTTAATTAATGATAATTCCTATATCTAGCAATGATATGATGGAAGAAGGAATCTCATAGGCTCAGTACAGTTATCATGGAAAAGTTCTGGCCCTGTATCTAGAAATAGACAGATGAATGGCACAAGCCTTAAGGTCAGCGGCTAGTGGGGAATAACAGATGAGTACACCATGGCTTTATCACAGTGAAGTCAGAGCCATGAGACATGCACAGCATGCTATGAAACACAGGGAGTGAGGCACTGGACTCACCAAGGCAATTCAGGAAATCGTCCAGTGTAAAGTTAAGTCTCACGGGTCAAGAAGGAGCTATCCAAGGAAAGAAGTGCAAGAAAGGGCGCTTCTGCCAGGGAAACAGCAGGTGCAACAGCCCTGAGGGGTGAAAGAGGTGGTTTATCGAGACCACTACAAGTACTTCTACTCAACTGGGGAACAGGCCACACGCCAGTGAGTTTCCTAGGTCGTGTCTTTGCCATCTAGCAATTCTGTGGCCAGTGGGACAACCTGAGGGAGGGAGGCAGGTAACTGTCCTTGGCAGGAGGCCCTGTCTTGTCAAGGCTGGTGTCAACTGCACCCCTGTCTTGAGAGTTTCCTATACCCAGAGTTCCCCTTCCTGAAAGACCCCTGGAGATGCTATGCTAGCAAAGGTGATGAAACGAACTTTCCTTTGCCCAAAAGTGAGCATAAGGCTCCTTCCTGACACTCCACCCAGGTGGTGGACACTGCAGAGGGGCTCCCGGATTCCACAGAGACTCTCCCCCAGCACAGCGGCCACCTGAGCAGGAATCAAGATGCGGCGGCCTCTCTGTTTTTCCCCTGGCTTAGCCTCTGTTCTAGAAGTTTTAGAAAGCCAGGGGAACAAGGTAAGCCAGAGTGAGGACTCCAGTCAGTCTCTCTCTTTCAAAAGAGTCTTCCATTCTGGTTAGGGACCCCAAAGGTAGTCTCCAAATATTAAAATGTGCTCATCTCTCCATCTTTGAAAATAGGCATAAGTGACAAATGACACGTAGGTGGGGTAGGGGAGCAAGGAGCTGCTAACCCAGGAACAGAGCAGGCCCTCAATCAGTATTTATTGTCTGAATCAAAGAAAGGGCATTGCTTTCTTCTAGAGCGTTCTTCACTCAGAGCATTTCCCACCAGGCGCGGTGTTCCATACCTGCTAGGCTTGGTAGCCCAGGATCCTGAAAAAAGTTGGCAGAGAATCCTGCAGATGCCCATGATACCAGGTGAAAGAGTACAAATCAGGGTCACCCTATTTGGGAAAGGCTTTTGCTTGAAGCTGTGAAGTGCTTCACATGCTCATGTACCTGCTGGCCTCTTAACTACTTTGATGTGTGTTTTTCTCTCTGCAGGCATGAAAATTCCCTTTGCTCTCTTTTCAGTTTTTCTAACCTTAAGTGGAAACAGCTGCTCTAATTTTAATATCCATCTGCTCCCCGAGATGAGGACAAGAATCAGTGGCTCTGCAGATACATCCAAAGTCTTCATGTTGTCGAAACTCACTGACCTGGGGATAAGCCTTCTAGAATCAGCAGGCTTCACAGAAGCAGCTTCACGAAGATAAAAGATAAAAAGGAAAAAGAAATAAAATAAAATGCTAGCAGGTCCTAGATATCCAGTAGCAATTGTTTTTAAATCCACAAAAGCCAAAGCCCCCCAAAGTGCATGTGTGCTCAGATTAGTCATGTCATCGTGAAGTTGGAAAGAAGCTCCCCGAATGGCCAGCAACGTCTACGAAAAAGCCAGGGTTTTCTTCTGTGAAGAAAGCTGAGAGGAACTGCAAAGTCATAAAAGGCAGAAGAAATAAAAGCAAAAAGTATAAAGGAAAAGAAAAGCAGCATTGAGAATGAAGGAGGCACTCCATAAAAGCTAGAACTAGCCATGGGTTGTGAAGCACAGAAATAAGGATGGTCAGCAACAGAGACTGGAGGCTCTGCCATCAGGGAGTTCGGGCAAGGAACGGAGGGAGGAGGATCAGAAAACCACCTCCCCTTAATTTTGTAGCCCTGTAGGACCGCTCTACGGGGAAGCAGAAGAGAGAACCTTCTAGCTCTACTTCAGTGCACTGTCTTTTAAGATGCAGGGGGGTTTCCTCCCCCATGACAAGCTACACTTTAAACCACCAGAGAGCTGGTGCCTGTGTAATTATACCCACAGAAGCAGTACAATAGGGTACAATAGCTTAGAGGTACTCTACAATAGTGATCGTCCAAATTATCTCCTCAGAAACACAAATATTTAGCACTTCCCGCGAAGGCATGAAATTAGAAGGGCAGTGAAATCCCCCGGAAAACTGTTAAGAAAGCATAACCATGTAGAATTAAGGGTTTTTTTTCGGCAAACTGATTTTTTTTGAGCACAGAGCCCCCTCTGAACTGTTTTAGAATGTTAAGGAAACCAATCCCACTTAATAATGCTATTATTATTAAATATGTGAATTAAGTTCAGGTGTAAAGATTACAGGCACCACGACTTTTCTTACATATGTAAATGCTGTAGGCACTCGGGAAATAAAAAGCTTTATTGATGGAAAATTTCATTATTCAGGACTTCCATGATCAAGATTGAACTGATGGGCAGGCTTTTCTCCAGGTAAAACCACGTAATAACATTAGATAAAATAGAAAAAGCTTTCACTCAAAGGTGAACTTTAAAAGGAGGTGGGAGAGAAGGCGGATCCTTATGTTTCAGGAGTGATGAAAGAACTCACAACCAGAACTATTAGCAGACAATACTGCATTGACCCCAGGGGTTATAAACCTGGAAATAAGACCTAAGGACTGGAGTTTGGGTTCCAGACGTTACACAGACATGGGAACTATGGCCCTGAGCCCAGGAAAAGTGGGGGACCTATAA